TTTATGCTGCCTTTTCACTGTACCTTCTCTAGGTCTAGGTGTGTTTAGGTACACACATACTCACCATCGTGCTGCAGCTGGTGCAGTAGCAGTGTGGTCACATGCTGTGCACGTGTGCAGTCCAGGAGCCACAGGCTAGCCCATGTGGCCCAGGTATGCAGTAGGCTGTCCATCCAGACATGTGTGAGCACGCACTGTGACAGTCACACCAAGATGAAATCGCTTAACACATATTTCTCAGAATGTGTCTCTCTTATTAAGCAATGTGTGACTGTATTTCAGCAAGGAGAAAGGAAAGAAAGGAGGGAGCGAGGAGGGAGAGAGGAAGGGAGGAAAGAAAAACCAAAGAGAAATACAGCAAATATAGCCAGCGATGGGGCAAATGCAGCAAAACCCGGACAATGGAGAACCTAGGGGCAAATCCTGGGGCTGCTCATGCTACTCTTCCTCCCTGTTTACTTTGAAAGTTTTCATAATAAAGGTTGATTCTGAAGCATGTAAAACCACCAAGGTCACTGCACCTATACTAACACATCAAACAGTCCTTCCGTGAGAGCCCAGTGTCCTCTGAAGGGTTTAAAGCACAAGACATCCTTAGTTCAGCACGCTCTTAAGACTTGAAAAATATTATCTTAGCAGGGAACAGGTAATCCTGAATTCCAATGATAGCGTGAAGTAGCACCATAATAAATGAGATATGACTTGCTGAAACTTGCTACTTGCAGAATATTGTCCCCAAAACACTAAAAACAATACAGAAACGCCAGAAGGTCACCTTCACCAACTTTAAAACAATGGCCTCTGGGCTGAGCTGGATCATTCTCCGTGAACACGCCTTAACACTGTTTTGATTTTCTGAGCTACGTGCATATATACTACCCAATCAAAAATACAGTTTAATTTCAGATAAAATAATTTCATATATTTTTTATATTGAATTAACTTTACTCTTCCATGGAGAATCTTACACCAAAACTTTAAAAAAAGACAAAATGCCCTGTCTGAAGATTTGCGACAGCTATTCAGCCCCCTATGGTGTTTCCCGGATTGGCCTCTGCGCTGTAAAACTTGGTCATTTCCTCTCCTGCTCCTAAGCAGGTTCTTGCTTTTCTTTAGGCGGACATTGGAGACTTGAAATAAATCTGAAATCCTGAGCATAAAAGCAAAAGAAAGTCCCCAGGGTTTACATGAAGAAAAGCCAAGCCAAGGAAAGCCCTCCTAGTTTCATGTTGTGTCAACCACATGCTGAAGTCTTGCTTGTCGGTGACGCATTGATGAGAACTCGGAAGTCCCACTCTGCTCCACTTGCCTATCTCAAACCCCCTTCCTCTCCTCACCCACTCCCTGTGCTTCTCAGCCCTCTCCTATCAATCAAGACTACTGAAACCTCGAACCCATGCTCAATCATTTGCCTGTGAAGCTGCTCAAAACAGACGCTAAAAACCCTCGATCCTTGTGTTTCTGCATCCCTTTTCCCGGTTCTTTTACTGAGTCAATAGCCAAAGACATCAATTGGCATTGAAACTTAAACTGAGCTCAAGTCCCATGTAGACCTCAGGCAGGTGACACCATGTTCCCCGCGCCGCCGGTGAGTTCACAGACTCAATGAGCAGGACGTGAGCACCGAGAAGACCTCCAAAGGGTCGCACAACTTTCAGCAAATCTGGATGAAAAATGTCATGCAAGAAAGTATGGCATTCTCTTTCCAAAACAACCTCATCACCGGACTGCTGTTAACAGCCATTTCCGATTACTAGTTTAGACATGGGCTTGAATCACGGCTACCAACCAACAGGTATTTACTGAGTGCCCAGAGTGTGTGTTCTGCAGAGCTCAGAAATGTGATTGACAAGATGCACTTAACACGTAAGAGGCAGTCACATGTCCACAAGAACATGTAACGCGCAGGTCAAGCATAGAGCATGCAGGCCTGAACACAAGAAGACAGGAGCTGCTTGAAGCTAGTGCAGAGCCACAAGTGCTGTGGACCCTGGGCAAGACACCACCAGTGTGCAAGACAGAGAAGGGAGGCGATGGAGCCCGCTGCTCACCAGACACGACCTGAGACACAAAGGGTCTGGTCGAGGGAAACGGGAAGTAGGGGGAAGCGGTGAGGACACACGCACATGTCTGTTTCTTGTAAAGGAAAGCGGGCTGTGATCGGATCCAAAGGCCTGCAACGACAATCAATGGCATTCTGAGGGCAGGGGTGACCTCATGACCTTGACTTTGCAGGGAAGCAGCAGCACGAGTGCTCCTGCCAGTCAGAGGCCTCCCTGACAGGGCACGCGAGACACCAGCAAGGTCGATTCCTTGCTTTGGTGCTGCTACCAAGGATCCTCACCAGCATCCACAGCCCAGCCACACCCTCAGCACACTTGACAGGAGTGTGCTCAGGGGAGAGCCGGCCCCTCCCTCGACAAATTTTTTTTAAAAAGCATCCCACAGGCGCGGTGGCTTAGCCTATAATCCCAGCACTTTGGGAGGCCGAGGAGAGAGGACTGCCTGAGCCCGGGGGTTCGAGACCAGCCTGGGCAACTTGGTGAGACCTTGTCTCTATAATAAATCACAAAATCTAGCAGGGCATGGTGGCACGCGTCTAGTTCCAGTTACTTGGAAGGCTGAGGCAGAAGGATTGCCAAAGCCCATCAGGTCGATGCTGCGGTGGCTGTGAGCAGACCACTGCACTCCAGCCTGGGTGACAAGAGTGAGACTCCAACTCAAAAAAAAAAAAAGCATCCCACAGAGTGGAAAGTTTGCTGGAAGACTGTCCAGTCATGGCCAATCCCACATGATATCACCTGACTCCTAGGAATGCCAGCGTCAACTCATTCAACCCTGACAGTGGAGCAGGGATGATGGCAACCCCCATTTTGTAGACAGTCTCACCAGGAGGCCTACAGGGGTTGAGGAACTCCCCCAGTCATGTTGCTCCTTCAGGGATGGAGCCAGGGTCCCCCAGGTCCTCGGGCCACCCTGCCCACTGCCTCAGGGCTTCCCTTCCTCCCAGAGGTGGACTTGGATGTCAGGACTGTGTCCCTGCGGTGAGTGAGGAAGAGTGAAAATTCCCAGCCCACCCGGATCAGAGATCTCCATGCACTGACTCCAGAGTCAGGCAGCAGCAGAAAGCCTTTCCAGGATGGCACTCAGGGAGGTGAGAACGAGCCTTCACTCACCAGCTTCTGTTAATACATCAAACTCCTTGGGATTCCAGGCCCCTGCCAACACACATGCTTAAATGCCTGTTGATCACACCTTTCCAAATCTTCACATATGCAGGCATAAGTTTTCAAGGAACCACCACTTGGATGTGCTGTACTGACAGAGTACAGTCAAATGACAAAACTAACACTAAATTTAAGGCTAAGGCATGAACAGAAATAATAGGGCACAGGGGCCATGACATGGAAGGAAAGCCACACAAAATTACAGTAGCAAAAGGGAGACACATATGCATCCACATTATACTACTTTCCAATGTCAATCATCAGATCAGGCCAGGTGCAGTGGCTCACGCCTGTGGGATCAGCACTTTGGGAGGCTAAGGCAGGAGGATCACTTGAGCCCAGGAGTTTGAGACCAGCCTAGGCAACACAGTGAGACCTCATCTCCAGAAAGAAAAATAATAATAATCAAATACTTCATATAAATGTAAAAAGTACTAATGAACAAATTTTTGCATTCCTTTACGCTACATCTTTCACAGGCCAAAAAAACCAAGCCAAATTTTTCTTTGAAAGAATTTCAAATGAGAAATTCTACTTTTTATGCAATCATAGGAAGCAGGGTCTAAAGTTTTACAACCAGAAAACACATCTGTACAACAAGATCTTATGTCTAGCTGTACTGTATTCTAAGCACTCACGGCTTATCCTAACCCAAATTGTTACAGACTTTGAGTAACAGTTGACGTGTTTTCATGAAAAAGATGCCTGGTGCTAAATCTGGAAAACATGAGTTAAAAACAGCAGCTCGCCAACACCATTGCCTACCGGACCTGAGACGGCCACACTTTGTAAGGGAAGCCGGCTTGGGAGGAGCCAGGGTGGAAGCCAGAGAGGAAAACAAGTGAAAACCCAGGGGGCTCTTCAGCACACCGGTGACTCGTGACGCCTCACGTGCCTGTCCAGAAAGGGGCACAATGCCACAATAAACCATCAAGATAAACAAAGTCTGACTTGACAATCTGAACTCTCACAGCTAAACCGCGTCTCGCAACAATTAACTACAAGAGAAAACCGTTAATGAGTTGTTAAGAAGTAGGGTCCTAAGACTTTTTTAAAAATTCCTATTGGGCATATAAATTTGCTTAGCCATAAACATTTTAAATGGGCTCCCTTTGCACAGACCTCTGTATTTCTCAGGCTTACAAATAAATATAAAAATGACGGCAATGGGATTTATTTGTGAAAGAAAGGCATATCCACTATCCATTCACAGCGCAGCAAGCAAAGGACAAGCAGTCAGAGGCGTGCTCGGTCAACACGGTCTCCAAAACTTACTTCATGAAGATGTCCCCACAGATGTGTCCATCCCACACTGACAGCATGTTCAAACAAACATACAAAAAGTGAGGAGACATCAGGACATCTCCAGCACATCCCTCATGGTTCCGCAGACACTTGCCAAGCCTGCCCTGGGCCAGAAATGGGACATGAAAGGGATTCCAGCAACGTCCCAGTCTCAGATGCCCGGCCCGGTGAGAAGACCAGACAGTGACACAAAGGAAGGGTCCAGACCTCACGAGGGACACTGAGAATCCTAAACTAGGGAATGACACACACCGCAGAAGAAGCACGCGGGCAGGAGCGACTGCACCAGCAGAGGGTCCGGAGGAAGCAGGCTTGGGGCACAGCAGCTCCGAGGACAGTACGCACCCTCTTCCTTTTCCCTTCTCCTCTGGAATTTAAAGCACAAGCACTGGTGGGGTCTGAAACCCCTGAAGCAGAGTGCACACCAGCTTCCTTCCCCCTTCTCCTCAGGAGCTCTTGGAAACTTACCTCTCCGCACGAATCACACCACTGTAGTAGGGCGGGTCCCACGGCATCACCTCCTGCGGGGAACAAGCCATGTTACCAAGGCTGCGGAGGTTTCCTTGTTTCTATCAGCAGCTGTACCAGCTTCTAGAATGCAACCAGCTACTGTTCATGTATTCTGGAACCTTTCATAAAAGCCCAACAAGTGAGTACATGGCTCTTTATTTTCACTCCCTGTAATAAAGGTGTAAAGAAGGCCCACCAGGAACCTGGGGAAGGGAGTGGGTGTCATTCTCCAACGGAAAAATGACCAGAGTCAACACAAGTGGATCAAATCAGTCATAATGAAGCCTTCCCAAAACAAAGCCATGAATAATCCATGAAACACACTGCAGGTAAGATCCAGGCACTCAAGGTAAGATTTAAGTAAGGCTCTTTCCAAGTCTAAGCAAGAATCTTAGGGGAGACCTCAAAAATGAAAGCAACTATTTAAAGCGTAACTGAGGCAAAAGTAATCCTAACCTTGGCAAAGAAAATATGTCCTAAAGAAGTGCTGCCATCATCGTTGTTTTTGACAACTGCTAACTTGATACCGAAACAAACCGTCCTTCCCGCAAAGCGTCCAGGTGGACAGGAGTGTGCTTAAGAGACCGGGAGCCAGACTACTGGGTTTCAGCTTTCGCTCCATACCAGCCCATGACAGCACGAGGACAGGGCCGTCCCTGCTCCCCTCCCCATTCCTGCTCCCTGATGCGGCCTGTGCAGGGCAGTCATGCAGGGACCACGTGCCGAGAGAACTGACGGCCCCTCCTGCAGGCCCCTGAATGCTTGGGAGCTGCCGAGGTATGGGGAAGGGCTCAGCCAGTATAGGCCTCCTGATCACCGTGGGCCTTCTGAATTTCTACCTAGGCCTGATCTCTCCAACTGACAGGGGTTCTTTCCTATTCTCTGTGGTGATGCCTCTGTCCCAGATGGTGGTCTGCAATGCATGTAGCTTAGTTCTCTCTCCTGTGAGTGCCTTAAGGGTAGGGACTGCGTCCCCAGATCTCCAATCCACTGGGTTCAGCCCCGGCACATGTTTCCTCTAACAGACAATGACGCGCTGTCCACAAGGGCCAGACAGAGTCAGGCGCTAAGGACACGAAACTGAGACAGACACGGTTCCTGGATCAAAGAGCAGATGATCTCGGCAGTAGAAAGTGACCCAAAAGCCAGAGGACAGCTCATGAGAAGCACACTTAAATCACAGCAGAAGGCCAGGAAATGCCTTGCAAGAGGTGAAGTCTGCACTGAATTTTAGTTATTTATTCATTTAGAGACAGAGTCTCACTCCATTGCCCAAGATGCAGTGCAGTGGTGTGCTCATGGCTTACCACAGCCTCAACCTCTTAGGCTTATATAATCTTTCTGCCTCAGTCTCCCAAGTAGCTGGCCTACAGAAATACACCAATACATCCGGCTATTTTTTTAATTTTTTTTTTTTTTTTCAGTTGGTCTCACTCTGCCACCCAGGCTAGAGTGCAGTGGCACATTCACAGCCACCACAGCTTCAACCTGCTGGACTCGGGCAATCCTTTCACCTCAGCCTTCCAAGTAGCTGGAACCACAGGCAAGTGCCACCACGCACGGCTAATTTTTTGATTTATTGTAGAGATTTACTGTAGAGACGAGGTCTTTCCAAGTTGCCCAGGTTGGTCTCAAACCCTTGGGTTCAGGTAATCCTCTCGCCTCTGCCTCCCAAAGTGCTGGGATTACAGGTATAAGCCACCATGCCTGGCGCTTTTTAAAATTTTTTTTAGAGATGAAGTCTTGCTATGTTGTCTAGGTTGGTCTTCAACTCCCAGGCTCAAGCAGTCCTCTTGCCTCAGCCTCCCAAAGTGCTGGGATTGCAGGCATGAGCCACCACATCTGGCTGAATGTTAAGACTGGACAGCTGACCCAGATGAGAATGAAACTGGCACTCCTGTGTATGGCAGCTGTGAATGCTAGAAGCATGGATATCAGAGTTAAAGGATGAAAGAAAGAAGAAGTCACTGAGCAGAGCAGAGGGCGCCACACTGGCTGAAGGGAGAGCAGAGGGCACTGACACACTAGCGTGGCTTGAGGGCAGCAGAAGCTGCAGCTCGAGAGGCCGGCAGCCCGGTAGTGGGGGCCAGACAGGAGGAGGGGCCAGAGAAGGGAAATCGGACAAGTATTTGGAGCTTTTAAAGGGTTTTACGCAGGAGGTGACAGACCGGTGTTGGAAAACCCTGCCGGTGGCAACTCCCCCTTGGCTACTCGTTCAGAGGCAGGCAAGAGTGACAACCAGCCACTGCCCAACACCAGGCAAGGCCACTGTCGACAGCCACGTCCAGGACGGCTCTGTACAGAGCGTGAACAGAAGGCCAGCAGGCCAGCCAGGCCGCCACAGCTCCCATGGGTGAAGCCACAGGATCCAACCCAGGTTATGGAACAGGCATGGCAGAACTGAGAACTCGGGAAAGGACGGCAGGCCCGGTTGCCCAGGACGGGGTGACACCCAGAGGCTCTGCTGACATACAGGCTGTGGCTCACCCCAGGCCCTCGCCACCGTGAGTCTCAAAGGGCGCTGGAACCTGTCTCTCTAGCACGTTTCCAGGCAATGCCACAGCGTCAGGCCCAGGGACCACATTCCGGGACCCCTGTTCTACAGCCAGCGCAGGTCTGGCAAGGGCAGCAGGCAGAGGGCGCAGCCACGCACCACATCAGACACCCCAGAGGGCTGGGTGTGCCAGGCATCTGTGAGGGGCCTGTGTGACAGTGATGCCACAATGTCCTGGGGCAGTTTCCAGGCCAGTAACATTGACTAAACCAGCTTTTGGCAACATCTCTTTTTTTTTTTTTTAAAGTTTTCTGTCTCTATATTCACCAAACTCTGACCTATGCCCCAGCTTCCTACAGGGACCCCCCCCTGCCCAGTCACAGTGTGCGATGACCACCCCAGTTCCTCCACCAACACAGCCCTCCTGCAAACTCACAACCAATGTGCTCCTCTGCAAATCACCAAAGTGCCAGAGTCCTGCCGGCTCTCAGGGCTTGTACCTAGGTAGCCAGGCCATGGTTTCTAGACCTCGGGTCTATTTCTCCAAATCTCCCCTATGACTATGGATCATGTAATCACATGACTTTATGATGAAAAACAGTAATTAAGTGATTTTAGAATGGGGTAGATTTTGTCAGTCTAATTTTTTTCTTTTTGGAGTTGGGAATCATCTCACTCTGTTGCCCAGGCCAGCATACAATGGCACAATCACGGCTCACCACAGTCTCCACCTCCTGGGCTCAGGCAATCCTCCCACCTCAACCCAAGTACAGGGATTGCAGGTGTTACCTGTCAGCCTAATGCTTACCTACTTAAAAGAGTGCCTTAAATTAGCTAACAAACAAACAAGTCAACTGCAACATTAGCACTGATGATTAAATTGCCTCCTGTCAGATCAGACCTCCAGGAGCCTCTTTAAAGGCCACTTCAGAATGAGAAACCAACTTCCCAGAGCAGAACAGCCCTTGCATAAACGCACAGCACACATCTGCACACACACACTCATGTGTGTAGCATGTCAGCTAATGACAAAAATACTGTATTCTCAGGCAACGTCAGACTCAGACATCAGAATCAAATATTTCAGTATCTTGATTCACCAAAACCATGGATCAGAAACGAGACTACACTAACCCCAGCTTATCACAAGAAAGTTCCAGAACCAAAAGGTAATTTCACTTGAGAGACTATTTATATCATAATAACATACTTCAAAATAGTTACTTACAGAATTTTGAGGATTTAGCTTCATTTTCATCCCTCGAATCATCTCAAAATCCTTTAGAGTTCTGTAAAACAGGTTTATCGTTACTTGTTAAAATGAAATTCTAGTAAGTACATTAAGAAAGAGCTGGGTTGCTTGTGCTACACTGCAATAATTCTGATAAAATTAGATGCACTTAATAGTGCAAATGCAAATCAGTATTAATCCCAATTTTATATAGGTGTTAGAAGAAACAACAATGTGGAAGTCAGTGCATTATTGCCATTTCTGCCTTTAAAAGTATCATGGCGGCCAGGTACATGTCTCAAAAGTCCTAAAGCCTGGACATGCTAGCAATGTCATGAGACATGCAAAGCAATTATCAGCAAACGCTAAATCATTATTTTTTGCTATACCTTAAAAAGGTAAGAGACTAAACAAATTACTTTCTAGAAAAGAATAATAACACAGATTAAATTTAAGACTGCTAGTCATAATTTTTCCCCTATAGAAAAACTCTAGCTAGACAATGATTAAATAGGTACTTAATATCTGTAGAAGATGATGTGTTTTTTGGAATTAACTCCTATATATAACTGTAAATTTATGAAAGATAAGATTGCTTAAAATTCCACAGCTACATCCAACTAGAGAAAGACTATCAACACTAATCCAGCAAAGCAAGGGAGAACATATTCTCAAATGACGGCGTAATTAACCCTCTCTCTTCATTTTATCAAAGACACAGTGGCTCACCGGGATTATTAAAAGAACAAGCCGGGCTCGGTGGCTCAGCCTGTAATCCCGCGCCTTTGGGAGGCTGAGGTGAGTGAATTGCCTGAGCCCGCGGGTTCGAGACCCGCCTGGGCAGTGAGACCTCATCTCTACAATAAATCAAAAAATCAGCTGGGTGTGGTGGCGCATGCCTGTAATTCCGGCTACTCGGAAGGCTGAGGCGGAAGGATCGCTGGAGCCCAGCAGGCCGAGGCTGCAGTGGCCGGGAGCGGCCCCTGCACTCCAGTCTGGACGACAGAGTGAGACTCCAACTCAAAAAAAAAAAAAAAAAAAAAAAGAACATTATAGAATTTATATGCATAATCCAGACTAGAGAGAAATGAGTCCTAGGCCATGAGTTTATAGTCCAAAACAGAAATGTGAGTTGAAATGGAACATGTTGGTGCAGTCAAAAAAGGCCAATGGAACTCCAGACAGCACCATAAGAAAAAAGAGAAGGCAATGTCCTCTTCCCAACTCCGCCACGCCTCCTCCTGGACCCTCAGTGTCTAAGGCAGCTCTGCCCACTCTTCCTTATGTCCTGAAGAAGCCAGGGGAGGGCGAGTGCATGACTAGGGCCCTGGGAAGCGTGCGGCGGAGCAGGTCACAGTTTGAGCACTGCTGACCCAAAACTTTCTGAGGCCACGTGACACCATGGCGGAAAATCTCACATCTGACCTCACATCATGAGCCACAGTCCCAATGCAGTAAGAGTTTTAGTTCGCATACAAAACTATTAAAAATGCTGTGCAGAATTACCTTCAGGCTATGTGTGTGGGTACATATATGAAACAAATGAACTCTGTGTTTAGACTTGGGTCCCATCCCCCAAATACCTCATTACATATATGTGAATATCCCAAAATCCAAAAATGTCTGAAATTTGAAACATGTCTGGTCCCAAGCATTTTGTGTGAGGGACATACTCTGTATAACAAAGGGGCCCACCGAGGAGAGTGAAGCACTCAGTTGGACATTACAAACGCCCAGAAGGAGCATTCTTAAGCCACTCCACTAAGTCAAAAACGCAGATTAATATGAGATGAGCACCTCACATTTACGCCAAAAGAAGAGAAAGACCACTTCACAAACTCGTCATAAATACAGTGGTTGGCCAGTTGTTCAGTGGTTAGAGCGTGGTACTAAATCAAAGGGTCAAGTAAAAAAAAGTAGCTTCAGAAAGGTTTGGGAAAATGTTTTTAATTATTCACAGAGCGACAGATTCTAAAAGGCAGCTGGTTCATGAGAAGGGACTGCCTGGGTTCCCGAAATTGGCACCTTTGAAGACTACAGTGTCACCCTCCCAAGGAGCCTCCAATGAGCATCCCATGGGAAGAAGCCACCATGTGACCTACCTTCCACACTGAGATTCCCAGCCACTTCCTGATTTTTCATCAATTGTCTTCTCTAAAAACTAAATAACATACAAAGGAAAAACTAAACAGTAGGATGAAAACCAACCTTTCAGAAAGCTTGTCAGAGAGTTTCTCAAGGAACTGCATGACAGTCTCTAAAAATGAAATTCAAAAGAAAAGATCTTCAATTATGTGAAATACAGTGAACATATCTGCTAAAAGTATTATGTGATGATCACAGCCCATACATTACAGCTCCCTTAAAGTGACAATTTTCAAAGGGAAGTTAGGATTACTAACATATATGAAGAATAAATAATAATAAATTTTATTTATTTATTTATTTATTTTTATATTTATTTATTTAGTTAGTTTTTTTTGAGTTGGAGTCTCACTCTGTCGCCCAGACTGGAGTGCAGTGGCCGCTCCCGGCCACTGCAGCCTCGACCTGCTGGGCTCCGGTGATCCTTCCGCCTCAGCCTTCCGAGTAGCCGGAATTACAGGCGCGCTCTACCACGCCCGGCTGATTATTTGATTTATTGTAGAGATGAGGTCTCGCCAAGTTGCCCAGGTGGGTCTTGGACCCGCGGGCTCAGGCAATCCACTCACCTCGGCCTCCCAAAGCACGGGATTACAGGCTGAGCCACCAAGCCTGGTCATAAATTTTATTTTTTATGATAAAAATAATAAATATTTCTAGATGATGATAGCCTTTGTTTGTGTATTTATCTATATTTTATTTTTATTTTTTTAATTTGTTTATTTTTTAAATCTTTTTTTTTTTTTTTAATTTTTTAATTTTTTTTTTGAGTTGGAGTCTCACTCCGTCACCCAGACTGGAGTGCAGTGGCCGCTCCCGGCCATCGCAGCCACGACCTGCTGGGCTCCGGCGATCCTTCCGCCTCAGCCTTCCAAGTAGTCAGAACTACAGGCATGCGTTACCACGCCTGGCTGATTTTGATTTATTGTAGAGACGAGGTCTCACCAAGTTGCCCAGGCGGGTCTCGAACCCGCGGGCTCAGGCAATCCACTCACCTGGGCCTCGCAAAGAGCTGGGATTACAGGCTGAGCCACCGAGCCCAGTCTTTATCTATTTTTTAAAGAGACGAGGTCTCGCTCAGTTGCCTAGGCTGGAGTGCAGTGGCACAATCATGGCTCACTGCAGCCTCGACCTCCTGGGCTCAAAGTATCCTCCTGCCTCAGCCTCATGGATAGCTGGAGCTACAAACATACGCCACTATGCCCGGCTAATTGTCGCAGAGACAGTCTCGTGATGTCGCCCAGGCTGGTTTCAACCTTGGCCTCCCAAAGTGGTGAGATGACAGGTGTGAGCTGCCATGCCCAGCTCTTTTTTTTTTTAAGTTTTAAAGAGATATGTAGACTCTGAATTGTTCATAAAAGTTAGTACCATTTAGTAGGATGATTTATTGAAACAAATGTTTAAAAGTCAGTGGTTTCCTGGGTAACTATGTTTATTTTTATATACAACTGTGGAATAATCTATTCAGGACTAACACCAAAAGAGAACAGAGCAAATTAGAACGTAAAAATTTAATTTCTAATAAGTTTTTTAAAGTACTTTTGTTAAAATACATCAACCATAGTCATGCAATACACCACCGTCCCCATGGAAGTGTCTCCTGTGCTTTTCTGAATTTCCCACTTCTGCCACTGACTTGTGTGTACAGAGCCTTTCATGTATTTCACTTTGCCACAAACATTGCTCTGATGCTTTCCAGATGATCTTGTATGCTGTTTAAAGTTTCCTGCCCTCTCTTTAATGTAAGTTAGCTCCTTCCTGAGTGAAACAAAAGGCCAAGGAAGGGACAGAGGTGACCCCAAACCAAACCACAGCTTCTGCTCCATCCATCCCTAAACGAGTCTCACGTATACTAACTCCGAAAACATCGCCTAGTGCGCCAGATTCAATGACATCAGGAACATCAGAAGAAAACGGTTTGTCAGTCAAGAACGCAGCCTCATTTCAGAGGCTTACATCAGCTGCCACACCAAACTGTTTTCAAATAAGTCACCATGGATGCTTTCATTTCTTAATGTTTTACTGACATTCACCCAGTTTAACTTTCCAGTCACCTTATCACGTGTGACGAAGCTGCCTCAGTTTCTCTCCCTGGAAAACTGTCATATAAAGACTCCAGACCCCCTGACGATGACCAGGGCCTCCCTACATGGTGGTCCCCTGGCTCCACAATTGTGACAGCCCACCCTGCCCCGGTGTGTGCCCTGTGAGCTCCCAGCCCTCACGAGACCCCCGAGAGCCACAAAAGCAATCATGACCTCCCAGGCTCCCAAGACCCCACGGCATGCTCTGCCTCTACTTCTCACACGGCTCTGAAGGTATGCCACTGCATTATTCACCAGAGGCGCATGTATCTGGGCTCCTCAAGGGCACGGCACATCCTGCGTGGCTGTGTGCACCATGGCCTCATGAGCGCTCGGGCACATGGGGCCTGCCGGTGCTGGCATCAGGTGGGCTGCACAGGCCGGGGCTCCTGTCCACTGTCAAGCCAGGTGACCCAGTGCCACTCCATTTGACCTGCTGCAGCAGGACTGCTGCCCCCACCCTGGGACACTTCCGCTGCACGGCGTCCAGGCCCACGCACTGGTCGCTGTCCTCCTCGCCCACCGACGTCACCTCCGCAGCCCCGACTGCCCTTCTCCACGTGCCTGGCCTCAAACACCTGGATAGTGCTGTCGTCAGACTTCTCTCCACGTGGCCTTACTGGTGGCCTCGCTGCCCCCTACAACCTGAATACGGGTCCCAATTCCTGACTCCAGCTCGAAATTCGCACTCACACCCGTCACCCAAGTGCCCACTCAGCGGCGCACAGACCAGACCCTGCTCTGATCCCCCCCTCTTGAGGCTGCCACCCCAGGGACCTGAGCACCAGCCTCACTGCCACCTGGTCATGTGCCATCACTGCCCCCAGGTGACTGCAGGACAGCTTCCAGCAGGGCCTCTCTGACGTCTCACTCGGTGCTCAGGTCGGGCCTCTGCCCCCTCCCCGGTCCTCAGTGGCTCCTCCTCTCACTACCCAGGGTCGCTTGTCCACCTGCTCCTCACACTCCGGTCACACTCAGGAGGCTCTGTCCACTCAGCCTCCCTCCCTCGTGGAGGCCAACTCCTGCCACCAGGCCTCAGCCCCGGAGGGGCTCCTGCCCGGAACCTTCTTCCCCTAAGCCACGGCTCATTCCTGCCCCCGCACGCCACATTTTCAGCCCCCAGCACGTCTCAAGGGTGACCCTGGCACCCACTCGCCCCTCATCCCCAAATGGGGCCCTGTACGGCCGTGGGACCCAATGCCACACCTGCCCTCAGCCTGCTCACGCTATGCCCAACACACGCGGGGATGGAAGCCGCACATGGTGGGCCCAGCTGCTCTCTGCCCAGAGTCACACCCGATACAGAGTGGGCTTAGGACACGTGTGCTCAACCCAAGACTGGAAAGCCAGGATGCAGACGACACAGACGGGGAAGGGGCCCCAGGCGGCCTAGGGGCTCCGTCGAGCTGGGGTGCATGCTAAGGAATCAGCCCTGCCACGCTCCAGGACAGAGCCCACCTGGGGCTCTGCATCTGTGGCAGGACATGAAGGCCTGTCTCACAGGCCGCAGAGGAACCACACGCGATGTGGGAGCAAGCACTCGGGACATTCTAACACTACACTATACATAAGCATAAGGTAATTAAAACACAGCACTATGGTCATCAAACCCGTGACAACAGTAACTACAGAAAAACACACGTTCTTCGCCAACCTGAAGATTACGAAACAATGTGATCAAAACCTAACATACGTGCTATTCCTACTGAGAAACTTCAATTACACGAAACAAATCGTAAACCCTTGAAGGTCTTGGGACAAGGGAGGGCACGGACAGTGAGGTGTGACAGGTGTCACTGGAGGGGGTATGCTGAGCACTGAAAGGCGGGGCATGATCTTAATACACAGATGGGGAGGGATGCTGGGAACACCATAAGTGAAGGAACTGGGGGACGAGCATGACCTCCTTCCTGCACAGAGAGCCCTGATGGGGCAAGGAGGTGGCCGGCAAGGACGGAGGAGGCTCAGGCCTGTGAGTGGTGGGACATGCCAGGGAAGGGGGAGGGCCAGACAGGATGAGGCCTATCCCTCCAGACATGCAGGCGCCACTGCACACCCACCCTCCCATGCCCCAATCCCCATACTCCCCCTCCACTGGATCCTGGGGCTTCACCTCCAGGCCTGCCATCTACCATCCATCAGCTCCACCATCACAGCCGCCTGCTCCCGACTCATCGTCAAGCTCACAACCGTAGTTCACGAAGTGCTTTGGAAAATTCTCTTATGTGCATTTACATTATGACTGGCATTTTCCTTTAGACGCCAGGAATCACAGGAACTCGCATGGCACAGGGCGAGTTTATCACGAACCCAGGGAAAGGCACCTATGCCACCCCCAGTACAAACCTCCCCCGGCATCCTCTCCTCTTGGAAAGGAGGCTTGTAGGCCTCTGTGTTTTCAGGTGAGCGAGCCTACACTTAACCTTGGCCTCAGCAAAAAAACTGTACCTTGTCCTCTCTCCCTAGTTCTCACCAACTTGGCTGGACTGGGCACAGAAACTGAGGGAGTCAAAATGAGCCTAATTTAAACCAGCATCAGAAGAAAATGTAGGCTACAATTTACTCTCAGCATGCACATGAAATCAAATTATTTGCTAGGACAGAATACATACCTAATTAGTAGCTCAATTTAAAAATCATTCCTATCGAAATAGGTAGAAAATCTCAATAATGGCTCTCTGAGTGTATTAAAAATAGAACACTATCTACAGCAGTTTAAATATCAAAGTTCAGTTTCACTGAAGTCCCAGTTTGTCCTTAAAAGTCAGAGGAGGCCAGGCTCGGTGGCTCAGCCTATAATCCCAGTACTTTGGGAGGCCGAGGAGAATGGACTGCCTGAGCCCGCAGGTTCAAGACCAGTCTGGGAAACGTGGCAAGACCTCATCTCCACAAGAAATCAAAAATCAGCCAGATTTGGAAGCATACACCTGTAGTTCCAGCTACTTGGAAGGCTGAGGCGAAAGGATCGCTGGAGCCCAGCAGGTCGACGCTAGGGTGGCCATGAGTATGCCACCGCACTCCAGCCTGGGCAACAGAGTGACACTCCAACTCAAAAAAAAAAAAAGTTGGAAGAACAGGCTTACCTGGAGTTTGAGCTATTGTTCCTTGGAGAGCCCTGTGGGAAAATGTGGGATACCCTACGAGCTTCGCCAGAAGATCTCTGTCTCTGAGTAGCTCTTCCAAACATTTCAGCTGAGCAGCATTGGGGTAAAGAAATACTTTGTAAGCAGCTTCTCGCACCTACATTTAAAAAGTAAACAGCCAATGACATAAAAGCCATAATACAAAGCCCTATGCAACAGTAACACAGGCCATGCCCACCACGTATCCCCAGATGACCACTGCTTCCAAAAGAAAGCAACAGTTTCCACGAGGTGAATAAAGCCTTCAGAGTCACACAACAGCTCGGGACACCACAGCACACATGACCAGAGCTCCAGGACACGGCGGGGGGGCGTGGTGGGACGCGCTTAGCCAGGTAAACTTAAACAGGCAACCAAGGCAACGTGCACTCTACAGTCCCGGTATCTAGAATGTCAGTCACCACTGTTATTTGCCATACTTTAAAAATAAGAGGTTCTGGGCAACCTCTTTGGGTCCCCTCCCACTGTAGGAGCTTTTCTGTCCTCTCAATAAATCCTGCTTTCTAAATAAGTCAATAAATAATAAAAATAAGGGGTTCTTTGTGAAATATGACTAATTAAACCACATTTCATTATCCAAGTGTCTATGGAATTGATTCCACAAGTTAAATTTTTAGGGCTTAGTAACACTATAAAAGTTCTAAGCGTATTATAATAATAATTTTATCATTATATAATAAGTATGTAATAATATACATAATAATACTATAAAACTTCTAAGTATATTATCACCGAATTTTGGGTTAAAATAGTAGCAGCAACACACAGACAGGACCTAAGAAACGAAGGAAAAGGGCGCACCAAGTCGTCCGGTGCTTCTGCATGGAGACCGTCGACGACCACGTGATCCCCGGCAGCCTGAAAGTGATGGTGAATGTGCTCTGGTAAGAGGTGCTTCTTGATCTTGTTGGGAAAGTTGGTTCCCATAAGAAACGCACTGCTCAAGTCCAAGATTTTAACATTAAGGTCCACTGCTCTTCTACGCTAGATGTGAGGGGAGTAAAAGTTATTGAAAGGCATTTCAAATTAATATTCCATAATTAATTAAAGATATCCTATGGAGGTGGCAAATCAACACACACGTTGTTGAATCACATTATAATTTAATAACATTCAATATATTAATAAGAGTACACTGGATGTGCAATTTGTTATAAATATATAGTATGTATACATGATAAATAGATGAATTCTATTGTTGACAGGTATTTAATATTCTGACAAAAAGATTATCCTTGGGGTTTTCAAAGGTTTCTATGCTTTTAAGATTTACTTACCTTCCAGAATTCTATTTTATGTGTAGGTCATATAACTAATCTTTGATATTAATACCATTAAGACATATGAGGACCTCTTCTGTCGCCCACAAAACCCTTGGTGAGGTGAGTCAGGGAAAGAGGGCTGGTTGGGACCACTCGATATGATGTCTATAAAGTACACAGAGGCTAAAAAGATCAACTATAAGTATCTGAAGAGCAGATGAGAAAACACTCTCAGTCTTAAGAGATTATTAGCCTTAAGACAGGAAAGGGGAGGAACTGATGGGATCTTCACGGAAGTGCAGGGGCACCAGGAGGGGAGCGCATTCTCAGGGTTCTGAAGTCAGACAGGACCAGTGCAAAGGGGGCAGGGAGATGGTGGGAGGCAGGGAGACGGCAGGGAGAAGGGGAGGCCCGCAGAGCAGGCCCGCCTTCCCCTCCAAGGTCCCTAGCACGTGGCACCGGGCCCTCACTCCCACCAGGCCCTTGACAGTCGTGACGAGGACATGGCAGCTGGCACATCCTATAGGCTTGACCATCCTTGGCCGCACACGCTGTCCTGATAAACACGAGTTACTGAAGGGGGTGCCCAAATGTCTTCAGTGGCAGTCCACGCCATCAGGCCCCAGCGATGAGGGATGGAGCACGGGCCCCGCCGCTGGCCACAGAAGCAGGCGTACACAGATCCTCTAGGGAAGGGGAGGCTGCCAGGAACAGCCTCTAAACCCGACAAATGATTACACAGCACCAGCATATTCCTAGAAAGTTAATTATGTAAGACGTGGATGTGTACTTGACATGATCCTGAAAATACTGAGCAAACAGTAATAATCCTCAGTTTTTCAATATAGAAAACTAAAACTTCATGGGAAAAATAAGTTTTCAGAGACCCCTATGTCTCCACAATCCAGATTTCTCTTTGCCCATTTTGCTTCTGGGCTGGCTGTTTGGCACCACCTCATGGCAAACGGTGGAATGACAAAAGACGCATGAGATCCACAAATTACATTATAGTTCCAAAATTCTCCCCACAGCCCTTGTCATGAAAAAAAATCTTAATTTGGTAAAATTAGTATTTTGAAGATTTTATCACCTGGCAAAACCCCGGAAAAATAAAAACTGAGTTCACGCTGACTTCAGTGATCTGCTAGGCTTATCATTTCATCATTCTGGGCTAAATGTACAGTACTCTAAACTCTCCAAAAATTCCATAAAACTTTTGTTGTTTATTAAATAACTGCCAAAAAATAAACACTTCTATTAACTTTAAACTTTTAAGTTAGCTCATATGAGCCGAGCACAGTGGCTCACACCTGTCATCCCAGTGCTTTGGGAGGCTGAGGTGGGAGGATCACTTGAGCCCAGAAGGTCGAGGCTGCACTGAGCTATGACCACATCACTGCACTCCACCTGGCGACAGAGCAAGACCCTGTCTCAAAAAAAATAAATAAATTAGGCCAGGCGTGGTGGTTCAAGTCTATAATCCCAGCACTTTGGAAAAGTGAGGCAAGAGGATTGCCTAAGCCCACGGGTTCAAGACCAGGCCAGATAACTTGGTGAGACCTCGTCTCTACAACAGATTAAAAATTATCCAGGTGTGGTAGCACACACCTGTAGTTCCAGCTACTTGGAAGGCTGAGGTGGAAGGACTGCCTGAGTCCAGCAAGTCAAGGCTATGGTGGCTGTGAGCGTGCCACTGCACTCCAGCCTGAGTGACAGAGTGAGACTCCAACTCAATCAATGACAGAGAGAGACTCCAACTCAATCAATCAATCAATCAAATAAATAAATAAATAAATAAAATAAACAGAAAAGAATCCAATGTTCACAGCCAGCTGAGACTGGCCAGCAAAAAGCCAGCTGGCAGGGCTGCCCTGCGGGCTTCAGTCTCCTGGCTTGTGTAATAACCTCCCATAACCTCCAGGTGTCTCCATTTCCTCATCTATAAAACAGGAATGACAGGGGAACCAACCTGAGTTGCTATGAAGACTGGATGACAAGTATGTGCTTTAAAAGTAGCAAATGCTGCCAGACCCAGTGGTTCATGCCTGTCATCCCCACACTTTGGGAGGTGGAGGCGAGAGGACTGCCTGAGCCCACGGTTCGAGACCAGCCTGGAAAACTTGGTGAGACCTCATCTCTACAATAAATCAAAAAATCAGCCCGGCGTGGAGGCACATGCCTGTGGTTCCAGTGACTGGGAAGGCTGAGGCAGAAGGATCGCCTGAGCCCAGGAGGTCAGGCTGCGGTGGCCATGAGCATGCCCCTGCACTCTAGCCTGGGCGACAGAGTGAGGCTCTGACTCAAAAAATAATAATAAAGTAGCAAATGCTCAATAGATGTTAATTATAATGAGTGTTAGGAAGGGGGAGGTGTTTGGTGTAAGGATCAAGGGGACTTGTTTCGAGGACGCAGGCAGATGCTGGTCTAAAGGAGCAATCCAAGAGCTTGGGCACTAATTAAGAGAGGGGAATACTGGGAAGGGAAAAAAAATACAAAGCGGCTCCAAGGCTTTACGACACACAGAAGCATGGGTGGAGAACTGATTGGAGAGGGGCCCTGTAGAAACCATCACGAGCTGCTGAGGGCCCGTCCTCGCTGAGGGTCAGAGCAGGAGTCACGTGCTGAGACTTTAAAGCCACAAACACGTCCGATGTGAGGGTTCCAACCCGACCTCCACAGAGCAACCATCGGAGCAACGACAGCATTGTGCGTCTTCCAGATGTGCTCTCACCTCACCTCTGTTAGGGAACAGTAGCTTAATCATCCTACATTGCCAGGAGAAACACATTTATCTTTCAAACAACCCTCCCAGCCTAGACTGCAGGGAGGCGGGGGCGATGCTGGAGGGCAGGCCGACTGCTCAGTGGCTCAAGTCCCCCCTCCCAACCCTGAGCTTGACACATTCGCGACCAGCAACTCTTCCCTTCCCTAATACTGAGAGTGGGTGAAAACTAAAAAAATCTGCAGCCAGTTATCACAAACGTCTGTCATTAAGCACAAGTGAAACGGTCTTTTCTAAGTTGTCCCCTTTTCCACAATCCAGTTGAACGTTGCAGACATATCCAGGATTTGCCTCACACCTCAGACACCACTCTGACTAGCATTCTGTACTGGGTGTTTTATTCAGATTATAAACCCGAGACAGTCCACAAGGAGGTAAACTCACATCAGCGGCGACCCGGTATAGAATTTGGCATGGCTTGAATTCATGTGAGCGGTCACACACAGATGAGCTGATACTGAAATGAGGCCTTTGGTTTCTTAGGCTATTGTGTGCTAGAAAGAGCAGTGGCCGGGGTTAGAAGCCCAAGGAACTAAGAACGGGCACTTGGTAAATCCCTCTGTCTTGTTTCCACATCTGTCAAATGAGGGGTGTGGACAAGGCATGGCCCTGCACCCCAATGTCGACACCGTACAGCCTATGCTCACTGCCTCCCAGAGAGAAGTGTGTGGCTCTGTCAGAGACACGTTCAACATAAACCAGACATGAATGTCTACCTACGGGGAGTACATGGCATTCGAGGACACCAGCTTTCCCACTCACGGGCCAGACTTTCCTGGTATCACCTGCCTCACCCTAAACCCATGGCCTCTACAGTGCCCCAACTGTCTCAAGCCTTTCCTAATTCCAAATTATCATGAGGTGGCAGGTCAATTCCAGAGGACACTACATTCAAAGGCAACCCACAGAAGCGTCTCCAATAAGGCCTGAGCATTTCTATGACACACCAAGTCAGGCAATATATACAAGGACCAAGCAACAAAGGCACCAACTACATGTTAGTAAGACCAGAGGAGCCAAAAATAGGGGCGAGACTTACCTTTTCTTGGTCTAGATGGATTCCACTGATTTCGAAATCAAACATAAACAGCTCGGCCACTCGCCTGGAAACAAATGAGCCGCAGGTTACAACAGGGAACAGGGAACACTATCAGAAGTCCATTCTTTTCATTAAATGAATCAGTCTTTTTGAAACTTACTGCTGAAAGTTGTATCAACACACATACACACCCAAACACACAATCTCTGTTCTAAACAAGAAGCTTAATATCATAGAAGTCAAGCGAAACGCCTAGTTGACCAACAATCACGCTAGCTTCTCATGTGTGAGTGGATTCCTCTGTTCAGAGTATGAGCCTGGGAAAGTCACCCTAATAATTACGTATTGACCTCAACTCGATCCAATGCCAGTATTGAAAGCGTAAGACAGGCATGACGCTTGGACAACTGTTCAAAGGCCCTGCACAGAAGTGCAGCTCTCTCCAACTAGTAGCAGCTCTGTGGGGTATGAAATTCTTTGAAGTTGGGCCGGAAGCTGAATCTCTTAGCAAGTGAGAATTGTTTTCTTTCTTTTAAATCCTGCTTCAAGCTTGGAACCAACTTCAAGTGTAGCGCCTTTCTCCTGTCAACAGTATTTTTTTTTAAAACTACTTTTTTTCTGAAGGGAAGTTAACCAAATATTTGATCTACTCTTTTAGCTTTCCTTGAGTTTTCAAAGTGGATAAACAGATCTTCTGAATAATGTGTCAAATACACTTTGAGTGAACAGAATTAAAGTTCTCCTGAAATTCTGAAACTTCATTAGACCATGTTAGTAATTTTTTGTTAAATCATGTCAAGTGCTTCTCCCAAGCCCTTCACCTGGCCCTGCTACCTCCACCTCCTCCCCACTGGTCTCTTCCTAAATAGGCAGCCTAAAAACACACACCTTCTTTTCACGCAAAGGTTTTTCTATTTGTTTTAACAACAGAAAAGAAAGATAGCAAGGGCTGATCAATTGGGGATGAGAATTTGTCGGATAAGTTTAAGAATCACACAATATAGGTCTATTGTACGCATAATTGCAAGAAGTGTAAGAAAAGATTCAAATCATAAATCCTATCAAAGAGAACAATTAAAATTCTTATATTTCCTACTTTTAATATGTCACATTACTTATTCAGAGTAACTGGGGCCCGACTGTGTATACTTTTGTGCTTTGCTTCTTCTTGTAAAATTACATCACAAACATTGGACAGTTTGTATCTTCAGGGTCCACCCTCTGCCCACCTGAGTTTGTTCAGAGGTGCAGAGCGGCTTGTAATATTCTGGGCTGGAAGTTTTCCTCTACTGTATTTTCTAGAGAATGTGTTTGTTGTATTTTTTGCATACAGGAAAGCTTTTAATGGTTTGTAAAACCCCAAGTTAAGCAGGTTTCTTTACTGTTGGGCTTCTCAGGATTCTAAACTACTAAAATTATCCAAAGAGAAATTATAGTGAGATGTCGAATTTCCAGATTTCCTGACCAATGAGACCCCTCTGAGAAAACTTCCGAATATCTCATAGTATTCCAAGGACTGCATCCAAAAATAAGATCAGGAGTTACTCATTTCTTTATACATTAACAAACAAGATACTTTATTAAATCTACAATTCTTTCTTTGAGCCACTGTCTACTTTATCACATACCAGGTTCTAAAACAGTTCTTTCTAGGTGCTGACTGACACACTCCTAGATGGTATACAAGTGCCATATTATAATAATTGTTACATCAAATTCTTTTTTTCTCCCACTTCCAGGCTGCTTTTCCTTTCTAGTCTACTATCAGATATTCTATCAGTTTATCCTTCCCAAAAAATCATATGATTATTTAAAAACCTCTATTGACATGTGTGTAAAATCTAAAAATGTGGTAAGCATACTACCAGTATAAGTCCCTTGTATCTAAATCAGTCTGCTAGTATGGCTACAATGTTTATACCCAAACATGCAAATATCAGTCTTTAGTAAAGTCAGTTTATGAGTAGTCTTCTTATTCTTCTCATTTGTTGTTTTTGTTTTTGTTTTTTTTTTGAGTCGGAGTCTCATTCTGTCGCCCAGACTGGAGTGCATGGCCGCTCCCGGCCACCGCAGCCTCCACCTGCTAGGCTCCGGCGATCCTTCCAGCTCAGCCTTCCAGATAGCTGGAATTACAGGCGCGCGCTGTCACGCCCGGCTGATTTTTTGATTTATTGTAGAGACGAGTTCTCGCCTACCCAGGCGGGTCTCGAACCCGCAGGCTCAGGCAATCCAATTTGTTGTTGTTAAAGTCAGGCCCAGCAGGGTGTCAATCTGTCACACTCAATAGGCGTCTGGCTTCCACCCTCTCCTGAGGAAGGCACTGTAACGTCAAGCCTCGATGCCCAGGAAACAAGGCGCGCTGACAACAGTCGGCCTGACTACTGCCCCGAGCATCAGGATGCAGGAGGGAAACAAGACCAAGCACCTGCATGCCTGCAGCAGGCACACACGACCCTCAAGGCGACATGACCCTCAAGGCTGAACCTCACTGTGCCACCATGCCGCACGGCACCTGCACATCAGATCAGTGGCCAACTATCTGTGAAACTGGGCTTCGCCTGGTCACAAGCCACATTTGAAGACAGAACAGAAGGAAGCAGAAGGAGGAAGAATCAAGTTGTTAGAGGAAGGGTTCCATCAATCAAAGTAGAGAAACAGGTGCAAGCAGATGAGGAGAAACCCTGATCTCTGTTACGATGTGACTATGACAGGCAGGTTAATGCAACCCCCACTATGCTTATTTTATAAACAAATAAATGTGAGCACAGAAATGAGACATCAAATTCTCATATGTGTTGACTTAGAAACTGGGCCCTTTACCTGCATAATGAACATCTGTATACCTAACCCCGAATTGTACCCCACATCTTAAAAATAAAAAATTTAAAAATTTAAAATAAAAAAAAAAAAGAAGCTGGGGCCTTAATCCAGACTGATATATGTACTCCAATGACCCAGGGAACCCTTGCAAGCATCCTGCCATCCACCCAGGAAATACCACCGACTTGCTTACATCTTCTGAGGGCATCAATTATGAACCTGAAGCTTGAAACTACGTATATCCAGCAATGTGTACAGAAATCCACCTACAGGCTAAGTACCCACACACGCCACCAGTGCTGCAGGGGTGGAGGCCAGGGGAGCAAGACAGACCAGGCCCGCTCTCAGGGAGCCTGAGGTCCAGAGAGGGAGAGATGCAAACACATTCACAGACAAATCAAACGTGGTAGAAGGGACGGACGGGGCTGTGAGAAGTCAGTCAGGTGAGAGGGGGAGTCTGGCCTGCTGTGAGGTCCTGGAGATACCACGTGAGACATCCTGGAGACAGTGCAGGGCTCAGGGAGACGCTGGCAGAGGAACATTCCAGAAGGGGCCAAGGGCCTGAGGGGTCTCCCAACCTCCCCTGGACTCAGTCAGAAACCATGCAAAGAAAGGATGACCTGGTTTCCGGATCAAGGGATTCCATAAGCTTTTTATCAGTGAGTAATTTTTGCAAACTCTGATGCAACTCCACGTTGGTGTTCAACCTAGAAAAACAACAAATGAGAAAAGGTAAATGACTTCCAAACAGCTTACTTTCAACTTGATATCAAAAGAATGGTGTCGAGTGGTGGCTTTTACATCCCAGAAGGATGGGTCATGTGTAGGCTCTCACGGCCATTCCTAGAAACGGAGCTATTCAGCACAGACGGGCACTCGGTGGGGCCGAGAGTCCAGGTACTGACGCTCTGGAGGTGAAGGAGATGCTGACATCCACAGTCACAGCCAGGGCAGGGAGAGCAGACGGGAGAGAGGGAGGAGGAGGTGGCAGGTGACTCGGTGGAGAGACAGCCCCTCAGCAGCACGCCCCGAGGACAGCGGGGAGGACAGGAGGGCGGATGGACAGGCAGATTCCCAGTCCTGAGCTGGGCACCCGGACACAGGCTCCTGCACCTACGTGGTGAGGGGCAGACCCCGAGCGAGGAGAGCTCAGGACGGGCTTGGGAGCACCTCAGGAGCCAGGCTGGCCCTGCTACTGCTCGGGGCCAGCAGGGGACTCAGACTGTGGGTCACTGTGAGGACGAAATGGGATCACATGTGGGCAGTGACATCCCACACTGATGAACCAGTCACGAGCCTGTCCAGCACACTAGGAGCAGAGGGCCTAGGACTGAGCCTGGTCTCAGCCCATCTAGAGTGCCCAGGAGGAAGCCACCCTCTTCCCTGGACACAAAGAGCCAAGGTTCACCCAGAGGAACAATGAACTGGGTCTAGACCCAATCAGCCTGGCCTGGCAGACCCTCAGGGAGGGACAAGATCACAAGAACCTCTCACCATTCCTACCCAGGGACTCAGAAGAGTCCCCACCCACCATTCCTACCTGGCAACTCCAAGGGGATCCCACCCACCATTTCTACCCGGGGCTCAAGGAGGGTCCCACCCAGCATTCCTACTCAGGGACTCAAGACTGGTCCCCAACAGCATCCCTGCTTGGGGGCTCCAAGACGGTCCCACCCAGCATTCCTGCTTGGGTACTCAAGAAGGGTCTGGTTCACCAGTCAGCTCACAGTCAAAACTCTGAAGTGTCACATGAGTAAAGGGTCTCTCTTGTCGCCGTTCTCAAGGGCCTTCCAGGATACCCTGGGAACACAGGCTGTCTCACTAATCAAGAAACATCAAGCAGGCCACGACTTCCTCATGTCCTGCCTCCACACATCAACCCCAGGAGTCAGGAGAAAGTCTCGTGGTGCCCATACTCTATGGACGTGCTCACCCAGGGAGCCACAGTGCAGCACTGGGACAAGCCCAAGGCAGCCCACACTATTCCCTCTGCGGGTTTAAGGACATCTCCCACATGCTTTATGCTAGACGACTGAGACAAGGACTACACTTTAGTCTATACCGGCAATTATGCCAAACGGCTACATCTAATTTCAGACTTTTTTCTCAGTACTACGGGGAAGCAGAAGCGCTAACGTGTGCCCAGCATCATCCTGATTTTCTGGAACACGGAAGAAGTCGGTGAAGAGGTAACCAGTGTGTCTCAATCCTGGAGGAGGCAGGAGTCCCGCACTGGGAGGGCCAGAGGCTTCCACGGCTCTACCTGCAGCAACGGAGCACTCTCCCAGGGACACGGGTCTTGACAGACACTCCTGATGGCCCCTCACCACCAGCCGCATCCACCGTTGTCTCCCACAAAACTCAACTCATCTGCCAGACCAGGTCGGATCTCCGTCAGGCAGGACATGGTGTCCTGAGCCTTGGGTGGAGCCCAGCCGTCCCTTCCCTCAGGGCCTTCCGGGGGGGGGGGCTCTTTCTCCCAGGAGTGCCAGGCCCAGCCTTTCACCTGCCCGAGTCTGCAGGGGCAGGGCCTACTTTACCCCACTGCGCATTGGTCTTGGCAGCTCCAGGAATCACCTGGGCGGTGCCAGACATGACTCCAGTCAGGGGGCCACAGCCACCGCCATAATACTGCCCTCCTGCCCGCTGTGAGCCCGGGGCAGGGTCCTGGGGCGCCTCCAGCTCTGAGCTCAGTGCTCTGCAGCACAGCACCACCCGCCCTGTCTCTCAGACACCGCGGAGCTCTCAGAAGGGTTTAAAACCATCTGCAGTGATCTCGAAAGCATCTGATGACAAGTTACTCCATCGCAGCCTTGCTGGCAGTCTGCCTAGACCCTCCCAGAGTCTCCTGGTTGCCCCAGACTCCCCCAGCCCCAACTCCATGGAGACCACCAGGCACTGTGTGTCACTGCAGGTTCTCGCCTATTGGCCTGTGGCCACTGACACAGCTGCAGTTCAATCAAGTTGAGGACCTAGTAACTCCGGCGGGCCATGACCCCCGAGGGAGCTGTCCCAGGGGCCACGATGATGACGACGGTAAGGGCACTGGCAGCTGCTTGGCACACTCAGAACACTGACCATCAAAGGCCACCTGTACGTTGATGCCACCCACCCTCATCACGGCCCCAAGGCAGGGTTCACTTGGTCACCCACCCACAGGCAAGGAAACAACTGAGAACAGACACAGGCAGCCCCAAGCCTCTACAGACACCGCCCAGCCACCCCCTGCCAGCCCCAGCCCTGACCAATCATCATATAAACCACCTCCCACCCTGCCGAGCGGGGATGGCATGACGGACAGCTGCCCGCGGCACAAGCCCTGAGCTGAGCACCCAGGCTGGCACGGGGCAGACGTACTTCTCCACCATGGTGCCGATGCTCCTGCACGCCTCTGCTGCGGCCTCCCGGAACGATGGCTCAGGGTGAGCGAGCTTCACAAAGTCAGCCTAACAGGGAAGAGACAAGCCGAAGGAGCGTGATGGAGAGCGTCCTGCCAGGCAGGGATGACAGTGACCAGCTGAGCTTGGAAGCTGTGGCTGGCCGGACTCACATTTCCAGGAAGGCAGAGCAGCCTCCTTCTACACTGACTAATGCTGTGATTCCTGGAGACCAAGCCTGTCTCAACCCAAAGAAAACACATTTACTAACTTTATTTCAGAAATGTGCTTCTCCTTCAAATATAAACACCAAGCAAATTCTTCCTAACTCTATGGTTAAAAGAGCAGAGGCTGGTTTCAAACGTCCTAAAACTTCCTAACTAGAATTCTTTGCAGGGTGGCTCTCCCATGTTAACTCAGCTTGAGAGAAGAACTCTTAAAAAACTGATGCAAAGCTGGGCACAGTGGCTCATGCCTGTAATCCAGCACAGTGGGAGGCAGAGGAGAGAGATTATCTGAGCCCATGAGTCCGAGACCAGCCTAGGCAACATGGTGAGACCTCGATGATACAATAAATAAAAAAATTAGCCGGGCATGGTGGCGCATGCCTTGTAGTTCCAGATACTTGGAAGGTTGAGGCTGAACAATCATCTGAGACCAGTAGATCAAGTCTTTGACAGCCATGATCATGCCACTGCACTCCAGCCCGGGAGAAAGGGTGAGACTCTGACTCAAATAACTAAATAAAAACTGATGCACAGTCTAGTTCCAAAACAGATTTAACTACATTCTCATCTTTGTGCAGAAAACAAAGGTACATTTTGTTTCTGGCCTCTGAGAAATATTTGAATCCACCATCCCCACATAATACAGTACAGCTTGGTCACTAGAGCTACGCTGAGCAGGAATGACCTTCTTAAAAAGATCAACTCAAGTAAAGCTAGGTTTGTTTTCATGTCAATTAGAAAACACTGTAAGAGAAAACGGCTGGGAACTGCAACATGCAGGGAACAGTGACAATCCACATGTGTCCTTTCTTCTCCAAGACGTGTGATTGTCACATGAAGCGCATCATTAGGTAAAAATTCCCTAATTTTAGTATCAAATAGTTTTTAATGCAAAAACATGTAAATCCGCAGTTTGGTCCATCTGCTGTAAACATAGGTCACACTAAGACAACATTAGTAAGTGCTGAAGCACCTGAAATGAGCTATGTAAAATCCACATTTTTTACAAATTGCTAATCTACGTGTTGCAGAATTGACAATCAATATTAAAATTCAAAGCACCAGCATACATTGTAAAAACTGATTTGTGATAGTGATAAGGAAGACAGCTCTGCTACATGAAAACTGCATTGAAGAAAGAAAAAGAAAATAAAACAAAATGACTGGTGAGAAATAGTTTATAACACAACTGCCTTATAATGGTACCAATATTACTGGCAGGTAATATACTTTTTTTTTTTTTTGAGTCAGAGTCTCACTGTGTCACCCAGACTGGAGTGTAGGGACACGCTCATGGCCATCACAGCCTTGACCTACTGGGTTCAGGCAATCGTTCTGCCTTAGCTTCCCAAGTAGCTGGAACCACAGGTGTACACCACCACACCCAGCTAATTTTTGACTTACTGTAGAGGCAAGGTCTCGCCATGTTGCTCAGGCTGGTCTCAAATCCCTAGGCTCAGGCAGTCCTCTCACCTCTGCCTCCCAAAGTGCTGGGATGACAAGCGTGAGCCATCGCATCTGGCTCAAGTAGTATCTTAAAAACTGAAAAAGGAAAAGGGTTCTTGGAGGTTTTTTTTACCCAGATAGTTACATATAAAAATCACATTATAGTTTTTTTTTTAAGATGTGTTAAAAATTTTAAATGGTGTTTAAAATGAGACACTATCATGCATCATAAATATATTTAAAAACTTCAAAAATAGGCCAAGATACGGGGCAGAGAAGTAAAATCTTTAGTGAAGAGTCCAAGCAAAAATGCAGAAAAAACCTCAGAACACTGATTAATTAGGGTGGAGACAACACACACACACAATGAACTCTGGGATTTCTGACTGGCAGAAGTCACATGTCCCTCAGTGTCTGTGGGGCTAGTTCCGGGACTGCCATGGACACCAAACCCCAGAGTGCCCGAATCAGAGACTGTGGCTTGGTCCTGACTGGACTCCAAGGCCCAGACAGTGCTTGACTCACAGCAGGTGCTCAATGCCACGGGGACAGGTGCCGAGCGAGCACTACTCCGGAGGTCACCCTTCTGGAGACAGGTAGCAGGGACTGGCCTCCTCTGGACTGGTGGGAAGCCATGCCTCCGTGTCAGCAAGGGCTTCGTAGTGGAAGCGGTCCAGGTACACTTCTGTGCCAACTTTAAAACGTTAAAAAAAGTATTTACTACAATCAGCTTGATGTAAAATGCTGATTCTAATCAGAAAAGGCATTCCTAAAGAAGCTGATAAAACTGGTTTTTACTCCTTTTATGAAAAAGAAGAATTTTAAGCCAGTAGCGCTCACCTGTGGGAGGCGGAGGTGAGAGGATGCCTGAGCCCACGGGTTCGAGACCAACCTGGGCAATATGGCAAGACCTCATCTCTACAATAAATCAAAAAATTAGCAGAGTGTGGTGGTGCACGCCTGTGGTTCCAGCTACTTGGAAGACTGAGGAGGAAAGATCGCCTGAGTCCAGCAGGTCAAGGCTGTGGTGGGCATAAGCGTGCCACTGCACTCCAGCCTGGGCAACAGAGTGAGATATTGACTCGAAAAAAAAAAAGAGAAAGAGAAAGAATAATTGTGTTGTAAATGTACACATAAAATATTCCATCCAAATTTTGGTAGAAGCTTTCATAAATAAAGCAGCTTTGTCAAACAAAGCATCTGGCTCTTAGTCATCATTCTTTTATATTATCAAACATGACACACGTTTCACTGAATACACATATTACGCACACATTCCAATATCCCCTTTTCCTATAAGTGCATCCCATTCCTAATGGCAAACTTCACCATACAAACTGTACCCAACAGATCTCAAGCAGTGTTAGACCTTATAGCCCAGCGTGAAACCTAAACAGCAAAGGAGCAACTCTGCCTATACTTTAACAGCTGGAAAGGGTCATTGCAAGCCGCAGATGACACGTCTTACCAGGTCAGCCACTCTGCACAGGGCATCCGAGAGCTCATCGAAGATGCGCACAGTCTGGGGCCCAGGCGGGGTGCTGCATGCTTGCTCCACCAGCACCTCCGTGGCTCTCAAGGCTTTCTCCTGTGCGACATGAAATCCCTCGGGGGCACTGAGCTCAGGAACACCAAACAGACCCTTCAAACCAAAGAGTACAGCCAATTTATAACAAACATTAGGACTGTTTTGGTGTTAACTAAAAATACTTCTTTCATATAGGAAATCTTAGTTGTCACCGGCATATGAGACAATCACACCTGTGATCACAGATGCCACTTTCACAGTCTCCATGCACTCCACACACACGAGATGAAGAATGTTTTACAAACATAATTTTTCTTCCCTTTTTAATACTTTCTAATAAAATGAAAATTGAAGGGCACAGGTTCAAAATCCAGCTCTGGCAGGGCACGTGGCTCAAGCCTGCAATCCCAGCACTTTGGGAGGCGGAGGCAAGAGGATTGCCTGAGCCCAGGAGTTCGAGACCAGCCTGGGCAACTTAGCGAGACCTTGTCTCTACAATCAATCAAAAAATTTGCTGGGCATGGTGGCATGCATCTGTAGTTCCAGCTACTTGGAAGGCCGAGGTGGAAGGATCACCTGAGCCCAGCAGGTTGAGGCTGCAGTGGCCATGAACATGCTCCTGCACTCCAGCCTGGGTGACAGAGTAAGGCTCTGACTCAGAAGATTAAAAGAAAAAGAAAAAAAAAAAAACCTCTGGACAGGCTCAGTGGCTCAGCCTGTAATCCCAGCACTTTGGGAGACTGAGGCCAGTGGACTGCCTGAGTCTGCATGTTCAAGACCAGCCCAGGCAACTTGGCAAGACCTCATCTCTACAATAAATAAAAAATTAGCCGGGTATGGTAGTACATGCCTGTAGTTCTGGCTACTTGGAAAGCTGAGGCAGAAGGATCACCGAGCACAGCAGGTCTAGGCTGCGGTGGCCATGAGTGTGCCACTGCACTCCAGCCTGGGCCACGGAGAGAGACTCCAACTTAAAAAAAAAAACTAAAAACAAAAAACAGCTCTGTCACTACAGCAGAGCCTACCTCACAGAGCCGCTGGGAGGGTGAGGTAATACACGTTTCAAAATGTGAGAACCGTGCCTGGCACACAGAGCCTTCACTAGATATCGGCTGTAACTATTATTAGCTTGGCCGAGTTATTTCTCCTCCTAGGCCTCAATTTTTCCATTGGCACAACAGGAATGACAGCACATCGCTCACAGCCTGGCCACGGGTAGAGTTAGAGAGAACGTGCCAGCACTCGGGACAGAGTCTGCATGGGAGACCTCAGGAAAATAACCAACTATCACACAACAGTGAGCAGGGAGGTGAGATGACTGTCAGGGACGGAGATGGACGCCTTAACCCACGGCCCAGGCTGAAGCTGCAGTACATCTTATACTTCCCAAAGGCATCTAATACCACCATATAAACCACAATCCCTGGTCTCATGGGGACGGTCACCTTCTCGCAGCAATTGTCACACTCATTGGCAGGAGCAGGACGGCAGGGAGAAGCTGACACTAAGCATCCACTGCATGCCACAAAGCGTGCCAGTCACTTTACACGGGTGCTGGCATCAGTCACATAAGACTGCAGCAGGGAGAGTCATTCTTCTGCTACAGACAAGGACATATGTCCTCGGGGGCTGACAAACTTGTCTGAGGTCCCTAGTTAGTGGGAAGGCCAGAACTTGAGCCGCGCATCCTAGAGTCACACTCCTCCCAGCTTCTTGATGCCGATGTGTCCCTGGAGCATCTGTGGGCATCCTGTTTGGACAAGGTGAGTCGTCCCAGAGGCAGGAGTCCTGCCCGACTGGTTACCATCTCACACGGGGGAACTCAGGAGAGGAACGAGTGCAGCAGAGGCTGACTCCATGCAGTAACTTTATGGACGTGAATGTCCCTTAGATGTAAATTACTCTGTAGAGGTAAAGGAAGGAGATGTTTGGAAACACTGAGGCTGGCAAGGCCCTTCGTTTCGACCAGACGGACCCGTTAGGTTGAGCTGTGACCTCTTTTCAAAACACATTAGAAACTGAAGAGCAAAAGTCAAAGACTGCTGGGGACAGGGCAAAATCAGGGACAAAAATAAGTGGAATCTTTACATGGTCTTGACTCGTGCACCGCCAATGCCATTTTCTGCACACCCTCCCCATGCTGCCCCCGGGAATTCTACCTCTGGGACCAGCCAAGGCGATGTGAAAACACCGCGGGCACCTTCCTTTGCTTCTTTTCAAAGCAATACCCAACTCACAAACCTGAAACTCTGAATCAGTACCTAAAGTCACAATGCACAGAAAAAGTAATAACGTTAAAATTAATCCTACAGCTCTATTCACACACCCAAACCAAGCATCCCCCAGCCTCTCGGCCCAGCATCTATGGGGGTCCTCACAGTAACCACATGGATGCCAAAATTGCACGCCCTCATGGGCGCTGGTGCCACCCATGTCACACACAAAAATAATTAAGACAAGTTGCCAGGCACTGTCTGTCATCTCAGTACTTAAGGAGGCAGAGGTGAGAGGACTGCCTGAGCCCAGGGCTCGAGACCAGCCTGGACAACTTGGCAAGACCTACAATAAATCTAAAAATTAGCAAGGCATGGCGGTGCATGCCTGTAGTTTCATCTACTTAGAAGGCTGAGGTGGAAGGATCACCTGAGACTAGCAGGTCAAGTCTGCAACACGATTGTGCCACTGCACTCCAGCCTGGGTGACAGAGTGAGACTCCAACTCAAAAAAAAAAAAGACAACATTAATGCCAGAGAAGAAGAAACACAACTGTAAGCTCATGGCAACCACATCCTCGCCTCCTCTTTATAAGAAAGGCAATGGCGTCATAAAGAAACTTTAAAAAGGCAAAAAGAAAAGTAATCCTTAACCTACGATGGACAAGACTCTCAAATGCAAAGTCAAATAGGCACCAGGTAACTCCTTTCCAAGCTTGGCTTCTTCGCACTGTTAATTCACTCAGCAATTATTGAGTGCCTACTGAATGTCAGACACCATGCTAGGCAGGGTGGATCTGCAAATACACAAGAACCAAGGTGATACAGGGACACATTAACATCCCTCCATTTTGCCATGGCCCCTAAAGAAGCGCATGGTGGGAATTCAAGTGATCCTGCACGTTCCTGAGCACATTATGGAGAATCCCCGTCTTCCAAGCATTCCCAGTAGGTAGCTTCAGGGGATCCTTGACTTTCCTGCAGCCTAAGTCCAAAGATGCAAATCCCTATTGATTCCCTTTCTTTGAACTATATAGTATCGATGGAACCTAAGTCTTGTGAATTGCACAACTCTTGCAGAGCTTTTGCAGTGCATGATGTCTTAGGCCTTGTAAACTTCCTTTGCTCTAGATGTCATTACCTCAATGGTAAGATGCAGCTGTAACTTAAGCTCTATGCAATGCTCTGCTGATCACCATGTATGCCCAGCATGGCTCATGTATAGGCACTGACAACTCTGGACTATACAAGTGGACTGCCACCTCGAGCCCAGCTCTGCTACCTGGATTCAAACTCAGAAATGGAGCAGCTGAGGTTATTTGGACCCTAACAAATGGATTCTGTCTGGCAACTTCCTGGAGCAAGATATCAAAGCGACCAACCCCACTGCACTGTAGGAAACCAGGTTTGTCGCAACAGGTTTTTAAAAAAAGGCCCAAAGCTCTAAAATAACAACTCCCTAGGCAGTGGGATGGCAGGCATCAGTGAAGTTACTGTAACACTGAAGGCACAAGGCATCCTTGCAAAAAGACAACCTGACAGCGAGGGTGGATGCCGGGGGCCGGGTCCCAACAAGGTGGGACTTTCTTTTTGTTTGTTTTTGTTTTTGTTTTTTGAGTTGGAGTCTCACTCTGTCGCCAGACTGGAGTGCCGTAGCCGGTCCCGGCCACCGCAGCCGCGACCTGCTGGGCTCCGGCGATCCCTCCGCCTCAGCCTTCCAAGTAGCTGGAACTACAGGCGCCCGCTACCACGCCCGGCTAATTTCTGATTTATCCTAGAGATGAGGTCTATGCCAAGTTGCCCAGGCGGGTCTGGAACCCGCGGGCTCAGGCAATCCACTCACCTCAGCCCCCCAAGGCGCAGGATTACAGGCTGAGCCACCGAGCCCAGCTAGCCGGGACTTTCCTAACCTAGATCACTGGACTGAATTCTTCGGTTCTTGGTTACTTCTGTGCCCAGCAGGATGGCTTGTGGCATTCAGGAGCCACTCAAGAAGGAATGAATGAATGAACGTATAACGCAGGCAGGTGCAGGGTTGCAGCAGGTGTGAACTTGAGCGGGGTGGGCTGGGGGTGAAGGG